TTGGTCAAATAGCATTTTTGGCTGGCCGACCACTGTACATCTGCTTTTCCAGATATTTTTATGCCAGTTGTGCTAGCTGGCATACACTTTGCTCCCCTCCATACACGTGTATGGAGGGATGTCACTCTTGCTTAGCTTGTTTTGGAAGCTTTGCAAGAGTGAATCTCTATAAGAGGGAGCCTCTTCTCCCTCTATTAGGGTTATAACATTTTTCCAGAGGGCTCTGATATTAGGGTTAGGGTTTGCATATCCCCTATCTCTATATCTCCCTCTCTTTTGTGTATAAGTGCATTTTTTGGTCTTATTATTGCACACAAACACCCACCATTACACCTTACCTTGGCTACTGAGGTGCTAGGGAGCTGTTCTTGAAGTTCTTGATTGGTTTTGAGCTCAAAGAACCAGCTGGAGCATTGTTTGTGAAGGAGGTCTACAAGGATAACAATCTTACCCCTTTTCTCCCATTTTTGCATAGCTTTTAACCTATCTTGCAACTATTTTCAGACTTTGTATATAACTAATAAAAGTCTTGTTTTTGAGTGCTTTAAATAGTTGTTTAAGGTCACTTTGTTATTTGAGGTTGTTTGACACCTCTTAGGGCTTGTTTGGCCCCATTTTTTAGCTATTTTGGTGAGCTCCGGGACCACCTTGTTTGGGCCTCCTCACCATTGAAATCTTGAGGGATTTCAGTGGTGAGGATGGTGGTTTAAGGTCCTAAGAAGGAGAGGGTCATCCCTCTCCTTGTTGTCTTTAATATATGCCATTTAAGCCTCATGTGTGAGCACCATTTTTGAACTCATGTTGGCATGTTTCAGTAGGTATTTGGTAGTATTTTGCCATGTTTTACCTTTGTTTTTACTTGGTTTAGACACACCATGCATGCCTTGCATACATGTCTTGTAATGCCATGTTTTAGCCTTAACATGCTTTGTGCTTTGAGCCTTGTTCGAGCATGTTTTTGACCAAGCTTTGTGAAGCTTTTGTGCTTGTTTTGATGTGCTAAAGGTCTAGTTTTGGTCATTCGAGTAGTCCATGCTTTGCTTTGTATAGCTACCATGCAACCTCTCTTGTATGCCCTAGGCATTGACCCCTCTAGCATGCCATCCTTACTTTGTTTCAGTGGTTTGGAGCTACTTGCCATGCCATTTCAGTCCTTGTGGTGTGTTTGTCTGCTTGCATTTGGTGTTCCTTTAAGGCCTTAAAGGGTTGGTGTTTCATGCTCCATGTTTGTGCCTTCATGTATGGCATCATGTTTAGGCCTCTAAGATGCCATGCCATTGGGTTTTTGGCTTTGTTTTAACATGCTAAAACTCTGATTTTAGTTGTTCAATTCATGCCATGTTTGGTTTTGTTAAGGGTAGTTAAATACCTCTTTAGTGAGCCTTAGACCTTGGACTTTGTTTGCATACTTTGATTGCCTTGTTTAGATTGATTTGGCATCATTTTATAACATGATTTCAGAGCTTATAATGTATGCCATGTGTCCATGTTATCCTCTTCTAAGTGTGCTTAAAAGTTGTCTCCATATGCTTAAGTGTTTAGGCCATAACATGTGTATGTTTGTGTGTGTTTTGCCTCTCATTCCTTAGCATGTTGGCCACTGTTTTGGGCCTAGTATAGAGCTGCCTAAATTAGTCTAAGTCCACTCTTTACATGTTGTTACATGTCTTACATTCCGCATGCTTTGATTGCATCATATCTTGCATGTCCATTAGCCCTGCATGTTATGGCATACTTAGCCTATCACATGCTTGTTTGCATGCTTGAACATCCACATTACACCTTGCATACTTGTCATTAGCATGATCGTCGCATGCCTTGTATGCTTGTTTGCATTGCCATGTTGCATGCTTAGTCCGCATGTCTAGGTTATATTGCATTGGCATGCATGCCTTGCCTCTTGATCAAGTGATAGAGGTTGGGGCCTCATTTGTTTGTTTACGTGCATTGCATTTCATTTGATATCAAAATGCACACTTGGTTACTTGGGCCAACACGCATCGAAATGCGCGATTGATGGTCCGGGAATTAAGGGTCATACCCCTTTGAGTCATGAACATGATAGGGGATGTGTTGGTGCACACATTTGCTTAAAATGCATTGCCATGCCTTATTTTGCCCTCTACTGCTATCAAAACAGGTTCTGCAGGAAGACTTGGCCAGTCGACTACATGGAGTGCCGACCGACCAATTATTGATGGCCGAGAGCTCAACAAATGGTCGATGACCATCCGGACATGGTCGGTGGGGTTCTCACTTGATCGGTGGTGATCCACAGTGTCCATGGAGCATACCTTGGGAGTTGTGCAATTTTCAGAGGAGCAGAGCAGGGGAAACAAAGGCAAACTTGTGCATGGTGGTGGGTTTCCGAGCGGAACCGAGCGCGCATACATTGGGCCCTCTTCCCAAGGCTACTTTTACTGCTTAATTAGCTTAGTTAATTTGCTTAACTAGTTAATTGTCTGTAATATTTAGTTAGCTTGATAATTAGTTAAATTGTATTATTCTTTCGGTCCCTCCGAGCGAGGGCAAATTTGTAATAAGTGTGGGTGCGTATGTGCATGTTTTCCAACCCCCATTTCTTTCTCCCTTTTACTTACCTGCTTTGATGGTTAGTACTGGGGCATATTTAATTTAGCATCCTTATGCTATGCATGCGTGCATCATTCATCAATATTGCATGCACCGGGCTCGGCGCATCATACTAACTGCATAGTATTTCAAATCAAACTTGAATACATGTTATCTGTCGCATCTCACATGCCATTCATAGATTAGCCGAGCCTATTCTAGTGACATTTTGTATGAGATACATTAGCCGCCTTAACATGAATTTGGATCATGCATATGATTACTAACTAGCTCACTGTTTTGGCACGGAGTACGATGTAAGTATTTATGCTTTAGCATCTCGCATGAGTGTGAATGTTAACATGATAGCATGCTTACCATGTGGCTATATCCTTATGTGATATAACTGCATGAATGCCTGTGAGTGAAGGTTGGATTGTTTGAATTGGGATAATTCATCGAAATCCGCATTTTAGTCTACTCGCGAGTAGCAAAATTCAAACCATTTTCCAAACAAAGGGAAATGCGATGCTTTGTTCCGACTTAGGCAATTTAGTCTATACTTGTTTTGATGTATGCATCACATAGTAATTCTAGGCTAATAACCGGTATAAGAACGCATAATGTTTTCAAAACAAGATATCATGGTTAGTAGAGGCTGATCTTCGGATCGGGCGAGAGGGGGTGCTCATAGCTGACCTTCCCCAATCGTACCCAAGTTCTCGAGCCGAGGCAACTTTGGTGATGACGGACACGTGGCCTTAGGCAAACAAGTCAGGGTTTCCTAAATTTTTCCATAAAAAATATTTAGTTGGTGACTCTGTATCTGGCAAAGCAGTCCATGTTTGGCACTTCTTTTCTAAAAATCTATTTTTCAAAACGATTTGCCGGATTTGGACTCTTTGGTTCAGATTAAGAACCGTGACAATTTGAGTCCTGAACTATAGTGAGCCCAAAACAAACCGAACGGGGGTTCTCCCCCGGGGCGTTCGGGGACGTCTACAATGGCCATCAACTGACAGTTCGGTCTTTAAGACCTAGTATATTGTTCTGCCCTCGGATGTACCACGTATGACTGCTATGATTACTATATGACAGATATGACATAAAATATGAGACATTGATTGAATAAATGATCTACTGATGCAAATGATTGTTTAAATACTATAAGAACATTCATTCTTAACCCCTTTACACATTTGTTATTCACTGGGCATTAGCTCACAGTTTATTATATATGTAGGTGGTCAAGCATCGGAGCAAAGTTAGCGGCGTCAACCTAATTCCATTTTGTCAAGCCAACCTATTGTGCCTTACCGCGAGGTTCCAGGCTGTTAATGTCAAGGCTTTTTAGGTGATTTAAATCCACCCTTTTTGAATGTTATATGTAGTCAAGTGAATATTTTATGACTTTTGTTAATACTATTTTTGATAATGGTATTTCATTCCCTAACTTGTGTCTTGTCTTGTATATATGTGTTTTATGGACATAAGTGTTTGTGTATATAACTAAGTATATTAATGTTTTCTTTTCATTCAGGTCCTCACAGCTCATTGGACGATGTATGTTAATATTGATTGGCTTCCACCAGCCCTTTTATATTGTATTATTGTCTTTATTGTTGACCAGGCCTTTGGTAATCATGGATTACTGGCCGGTTACGATACTGAACTCATAGGGGTGGGTTTGGGTCATGATAGAGTGGTATCAAAGCACGAGTTATACCGCATACACGTGTCCAAATGAGCTATAGGATGTCCTAGGAAAGAAATTAGGCATTGCATGAGCATAAATGAGTGTGTATGGACATGTTATGTGTATATGTGCTAACATGAATAAGTCAACCATCCTTCGTATGTTTATTATTACCATGTTTTATATAGTCACTACAACAAAACTGACTTTTTACGACACCACATCAACGATATACAATAAATGGATGTCGTAGTTTCTCACTTTTATGACTTGCTTTTTTTGCACGTCATAAATACTTTTCTAACCATGGCGTGTCTATTGCATAGGCCGTGAATGATAGTAACGATGATTTTTTTACAGCTTGCAATGCACGCTGTAAATAATAAAACTTTCTACGACGTGCATATAGTGTGCCATTAATATATCAATTATATACGATGTACACACAATGCCTGCCGATAAAAAGTATAGCAATTTTTATTACAAACATTGCATATCGTAAATTGTATGATCAAAAACAAAGAAGCGCCAAAATGAAATTTCTGGAGCCAATTCACCAAAAAAACAAAAAAAAAAAAGGAAAATGTCTCGTAGCTCAAATTTTGTGGCTCAAAAGTGGCTCAAATGGCCAAAACGATTTTATGTTGTTTTGTACTCAAAACGACGTCGTTTTAGCCATTTGAGCCACTTTTGAGCCACAAAATTTGAGCTACGTATCATTGTCGAAAAAAAAATTAGGAAAAAAAAATATGCATCAAGTGTTTGGGCTTCTAATAGATTTTAATCATCAAACACTGGCTCGAAGGGCATCAATCGCCGGTACAACTCTATTTAATAGCGTCGGGCACAGGGAGGGAGATAAAGAACGGTACACACTCATACTCTTCCATTCTCTTCTCTCTCTCTCTCTCTCTCTCTCTCTCTCAAATTTTCCTTAAACACATCTCATTTGGGGCATCTCTCTTTCTCTCTCTTAGATTTACGAACAAGATTGAGTCAGGCCGAGTCGAGTTGCAGAGTTACTCTGACGAGTCGTCGCTCGGGTGGGAGACCAAGTCGAAGACAAGTTAGACCTCGTTTGGGTCGGCAGCAAAGACAAAGCATGGCGAGGTCGAGAGGAAGAAAGGAACTCCATGGAGAGAAGAATAACACAGGTACATTTTCTAGGTTGTTTAGATCCTTTTCTTGGCTACCAAACAGAGTGTTTTCTTGGGGTCCAAACAGAGCATCTAGTTATGTACATGAGTTTCTTGATTGAAATGTTTTTATTTCCCTCTTTTTATTTTGTGTTTTATTAAGAAAGGCAATCAATTCTCAATTCTTTCGAGCATATATTATTTTCAGGTGCTTATCTTCTTTAAAATCTCCATATATACATTACCAAACACTCTTGCTCTCTTTCCTTCACTACCACTAAAAGTGTCTTTGTCACTACCCTGGTCTCTCTCTCTCTCTCTCTCTCTCTCTCTCACAGCCTAAGTAGTATTTAGTTTCGCACATGCCCTATAAGCATCAAAAGCCGATTGATTGTTAGGTGTTTGATTAAATTCCCCTTAAAAATCTTGTCTTTTTTAAAAGTTTTTTTTATTTTATTTTTATTTTTTATTATTGGAGCGATAGATTGCATTTCGAACATTATGAACTATTCTGAGAAATTGGTGACCAAAGTCGTGGTATCGTTTTCTCTTTGCCGGATATTTAATCTAATTTTCCAATTCTTCAATGGAAATTTGATTTCTGTAACTGTTTCAAAATTTGTGCAATACTTATTTCATCCCGAAATCCTTAATATTATTGTGACGCATTTGATTTTGCCCTCAAATAACATGACACTTTTTTGTTTTGCTTTGGGTATCATTTTTTCTGTATGCACTATATAGCTTACTTTTTTAATGGTTATGTACATCTGGAATGAATAGCTAATTCAACATGGATTCACTCTCATTTTTAGGCTTGTTTTTAGGGTGGTTGGACACTTTTTGGAGTAATTACTGAACCATAAATCTGGTTTTCATTAATAAAATAAAATAAAGTCGATGCTAATGCTTACAAAATTCGTTACATTTTTAAAAAGTGATTATCATGATGAGTTTCTTCAAGATTGTGGTTCTTACTAGCATAAAAGTAGAGAATAGGTTCGCATGATTGATACATTATATTCTATAAATGTACACTAATTTAGAAGAATAAAAGTGTCGAGTTGTCCTTGCACGGTTGCCCACTGGTTATGAAACAGTTAAGTCCACCACTGTTCCTTCTAACTTATGTTTGAGCATGGATCTTAAGGTTACTAACACAATACGCCGGAAAAAGTGACTTATAATATTTTCTCACAGTATTTGAACCATTTGTTTTATTTTTTCTTAAAACTGCTTTCTTGGGAGAAAATGGAAGTGGCATCTGTTGAGGGTAGTTTCCTATTTAATTATCGCATGCCACACTACAAGACTCTATTTGGTCTGTGCATGTCTGATGTGGATCACCAATGATTTCCAATAAGACCAATGAGACAACATACTGGTATATGTAAAAAAATTTTCTATTATTCTCCTAAAGTATAGTTTAGTAGAAGAGGTTGATCACACCACTAATGATTTTATTGGCTATCAAGTTGTAGAAAGCAGAAAATAATTAACAAAAATGCTACCACAGCGAATGAAGAAAGCCATCACCAACAACCCAAAGAAACTCGCCAACTTAATTGACCTTGATTGACATTAGTTACTCACTTCAAAAAATGTTGTCACTTTACTTTTGTGTGGTAAAAGAAAATTTCCTTTGACTTATCAAAAATAAAAAATAAATTTCCCTAGATGTGTACTTTACATTTTCAGGAATTTGATAGTGGAAAATTTTTAGGCTATGACAGGTTCATTTTCTCATACTTTAAACATTTGTCTCATTTTCTGCATTATTTTGGAGGGTTCATGTTGTGTTTATTGGTACAATAAATTTACAATGCTTATTGTTAAAAGAATTACAGACAACAATAAATTCTCAATGCTTATTGATGGTTTTTATTTCTTCTTCTAGGTTGTTAAAAACTTCATCCCTAATTTTAGTTGTGACAATCATTACCGAGTCCTTTTTTTTTTAAGTACCCAACAACTAAAATCTTGTAGCCTCTGTTGCCCTGTGATTTCAAGAAGTAACTGTGAAATTATGTATTAGCATTGCCTTTAAATTTTGATCCTGAAGTGATAATATATGGGGTTTTTTTTTTTGCACATTTAGACAAGTTTGGATGGATGCATTACTCTCTCTCTCTCTCTCTCTCTCTCTCTCTCTCTCTCTTTATATCCTGACTGAGTTTTTTGTTTCTTGCTCAGGATCCAAATAACAAGAACGTGGTCAATTGTGATAAAAACTTGAGGAGTATTTTGTTGGGTAAACCTCAAGTTGAGCTTGCTGAACTTCCTACACTAATCAAGCTGCATTTCCCAAAAGAGGCAAAATGATTTTAACTATTTGAATTAAGGTGCTTATCTTCTTTAAATTCTCCTTATAAACATTACCAAACACTCTTGCTGCTTCACGTTGTGATAAATTAATTGGGGAGATATTTTTATGTTCCATTATGTTACTGGCTAAATGGATTCAGCTTTTGATTTCCATTATATCATTTTTTAGCCAGTTTCTTATTTGAGTTTTTTATTTGGACTTACTGCTTTTCCTTATAATATCTCAACTCTGCACCTATATACCATGGCTGATAAGTACTTAAACATCCTAGAGTTGACCTTATTCTTGGCTGATTTTGTGGAATTACCTTCGTAGCAGCTCAACTGCCAATTGTTACAAATGCACACATATCTCTCTACATTAGTAGAAACTGAACCCAGGTACACCTGTTGTGCTCTCATATTATTCTAATTTCAGGTCTCCTTAACCACAATGCTGGGATGGCATTGCACATTGTAGACACCCCATTTTTGACCGTCCTCAAGACTTAAACGTCACCGCTTGAACACTCGGTGATCATTCGTGTTTGTGTTCGTCCTGAGTTCCCGGAGGTCTCGGCCACGCGCGCCTTGCCTCAGGATCTCTCGACTCGACTGTTTTGTGTCTGGTTTTGCACCAAACACTTGTGCTTTTCCTGTAAGGGACAGGGGATGGCTTGTTGGCCATCCCCACACATCACCGGCCATGGCTTGAGGCCACCGACCATTGGTTTGTTGCCACCGGCCAATTGTTTGGCCGGCCGGCACCTTTTGTGGCCGGCCGACCATCTATTTTGGTCAAATTGCATTTTTTGCCGGCCGACCACTGTTCATCTGCTTTTGCAAATATTTTTGTGCCAGCTGTGATAGCTGGCACCCACCTTTGCTCCCCTCCATACATGTATGGAGGGATTTCAACCATGTTAGCTTGCCTTGGAAGCTTTACAAGGTTGAATCTTCTTTAAGAGGAAGCCTTTTCTCCCTCTTTGACAGGACAACATTTTTTTTTTTTAGAGCTTTGAGTTCTAGGGTTAGGGTTTGCATATCCTCCATCTCTATATCTCTCTCTCTCTTGTGTATTAGTGTGTGTTTTGTCTTACTTTTGCACACAAACACCTAGTCTTACACCTTTTCTTGGTTGCTGAGGGGCCAGAGGTCTGTTCTTGGTGTTCTTGGGTGGTTTTGAGCTCGAAGAAGCAGCTGGTCCACCATTTGTGAAGAGGGTCTTCAATGGTAACATTCTTGTTTTTTTTTACCCCATTTTTGCATAGCTTTTTCGACTACCTTGCACTATTTTTAGACTTGGTGTATAACATATAAAAGTCTTGTTTTTGTCTACTCTAAATAGTTGTTTAAGAGTGTTTTGAGTTTTGAGGTTGTTTGACCCCTCTTAAGCCTTGTTAGGCTCCATTTTTGTGCATTTTTGGTGAGCTCCGGGACCATTGTGTTTGGGCCTCCTCACCACTGAAATATTGAGGGATTTCAATGGTGAGGATGGTGCCTTGAGGTCCTAAGAAGGAGAGGGCCGCCCCCTCTCCTTGTTGTCTTTGAAAAGGGCTATTTTTGCCTCTTGAGGGAATATCTAGTTTAGGTTCATATTGGTCATGCCTTAACTGATTTTTGTGCTTATATTGCCATGATATAGCATTGTGTTAAGTTGGTTTAGACACACCTTGTATGCTTTGCATACATGTCTTGTGATGCCATGTTTTAGCCTTAATATGCTTTAGGTTTTTGACCCTTGTTCTAGCATGTTTTTGGCCAAGCTTTGTGAAGCTTTTGTGCTTGTTTCAGCATGCTAAAGTTTTGTTTTTGGTTGTTTTGGTCGACCATGACAGGCATTGCATAGCCTCTTTGCATTCTTAGCTTGTGAGCCTTAAGTGCATGAACCATGAGCATGCATTACTTGCATTATTTCAGTGGTTTGGAACCACTTACCATGCCATTTCAATCCACTTAGCATGCTTGTATGCTTGCATTTGATGCCCCTCTAATGTGTTAAAAGGTTGTTGTCTTACGCCCTTTTGTTTAGGCCCTTGTGCATGCTTGCATGTTTAGGTCACTTAGATGCCATCTAGGTGTATCCTTAGCCTTGCTTAGGCCTACCTTGGACTTGTTTTAAGTCCTCTTAGCCTTGTGAGGCTTGGTTGACTGAGCCATGGTTTAAGCCTCTTTGGGCTTGCCTTGAATCTTGGACCATTGTTGCATGTTTAGCTTGTCTTGTTTACTTGGTTTGGAACCTTTACAACATGATTTTCAGAGCTTTATATGCATGCCATCTCTCCATGTTTGCATCCTCTTAAGTGTGCTTGAGAGTTGTCTTTATATGCCTAAATGTTGGTCCTTGTGCGCATGCATGTTTGTATGTCATTTTGACTTCATTTTTGAGCATGTTGGCCACTGTTTTGGGCTTAGTATAGAGCTGCCTAACTAGTGTAAGTCCCTCCTTTGCATGGCCGTTGCATGCTCACCTTGTATGTTGTTGCTTATTTGTGTGTTGTTGCATGATTGAATGAAGTCACATGCTTGCTTGCATGCTCGAACACCCACATTGTATCTTGCATACTTGTTGGTTGCATTGCTTCATGCCTTGCATGATTGTTGTATGCCTTGTATGCTTCTTTGCATTTCCATGATTGCATGCTAGCTCACATGCCTAGGTTGCATCACATTGGCACGCATGCTTAACCTCTTAAATTGATTATGATGGAGGTTGAGCCCTATTATTTGTTTATATGCATTTCACTCCACATTGAAAATGCACAACTTGGTTCCTTGGGCCATCACGCATTGAAATGCGCGATTGGTGGTCTGAGAATCGAGAACCATGTCCCTTTGAGTCATAAACATGATAAGGGATGTGGTGGTGCACACATCTGCTTGAAATGCATTGCCATACCAAGTTTTGCCCTCTGCTGCTATCAAAAACAGTCAAAAACAGATTCTGCAGGAAGCTTTGGCCGGCCGGCCATCTCTAGTGCCGACTGGCCATCCATCAATGGCCGATAGCTTGAACAAGTGGCCGGTGATCATTCCCTTTGGCCGGTGGTGTTCCACAGCACTCAGAGAAGCAACCCTGGAACTTGTACAGTTTTCAGAGAAGGATAACAGTCAAAGTAGAGGTAACTTGTGCATGACAGTGGCTTTCCAAGCGGAGCCGAACACGCATTGCATTGGGCCCTCTTCCCGAGGTTGTTTACTATTTTATTAGATTAATTAATTTGATAACTAGTTTAATTGGTCTGTAATATTTAATTAGCTTGTAGGTTAGTTAGTTGTATTATTCTTTCGGTCCCTCCGAGCGAGGGCAAATTTGTAAGAAGTGTAGGTGCGTGTGTGCATGTCTTCCAACCCCCACTTCTTTCTCTCTTTTACTTACCTGCTTTTGATGGTTAGTATTAGGGCATGTTTAATTTAGCATACCTTATGCTATGCATGCGTGCATCATTCATCAGTATTACATGCACCGGGCTCGGCGCATCATACTAACAGCATAATATTTCAAATCTAACTTGAATACGTGCATCAAATGGTTGCATTTCACATGCCATTCTAGGACTAGCCGAGCCTATCCTAATTGCATTCTGTATGCGTTGCATTAGGCACTTAACATGGACTAGGATCATGCATGATTACTGACTAGTTCATTGTTTTGGCACGGAGTACGATGTAAGTATTTATGTTTTAGCATTTCGCATGAGTGTGAATGTTAACATGACAGCATGCTTACCATGTAGCTAGATGCTTAGTTGATATAACTGCTTGAATACATGTGGGTGAAGGTTGGATTGTTTGAGTTGGAACAACTCATTGAAATCCGTGTTTTAGTCTACTCGTGAGTAGTAGATTTCAAATAATTTCCAAACAAATGGATATGCGATGTTTTGTTCCAAATTAGGCGATCTAGTCTATACTTTTGTGCTGTGCGCATCACATAGTAAATCTAGGCTAATAATCGGAATAGGAGCATATAATGTTTTCAAAACAAGATATCATGGTTAGTAGAGGCCGATCTTTGATCGGGCGAGCGGGGGTGCTCATAGCTGACCTTCCCCAATCGTACCCAAGTTCCCGAGCCGAGACAACTTTGGTGATGACGGACACGTGGCCGTTGGCACCAAGTCAGGGTTTCCTAAATTCCCCCAAAATAAAATATTTAGGTGGCGACTCTGTATCTGGCAAAGCAGTCCATGTTTGGCACTTTTTTTCTAAAAATCTGTTTTCTCAAAATGATTTGCCAGATTTGGACTCTTTGGTTCAGATTAAGAACCGTGATAAATTCGAGAGTCCGAACTGTAGTGAGCCCAATACGAACAAAACGGGACTCATCCTCCCAGGGTGTTCGGGGACGTCTACACACATCTGAAGTAAGTTTGAAGATACTGAAGTTGGTTTTGTTAATTGCAACTGTATCTGCATAATTGTGAGAACTATACAATTTGGGGAACAAAATCTTAATTTATGAATCTAGACTAATTAATTCATATAAATACTAAAAATTTGTCCCGTGTTGAATACAATGTGAGTGCAGAGCTAATTACCTCATTTGGTTAATGTGTAACCCACAGAAAATGATAAATATTAAGTGATTAGTCTTGGTAGAGCCTTTGATTTAATCATGCTGAATTTTCATTTTATTAAATCTTTTAGATGCTCAAGTGTTAGCTGGTTGATCTTAGAATGTCGCGGTGGCAAATTCCAACCCAAGCCCAAGGTTCAAATTGAGAGAGAAACCTGCGGTTGACACTTCTCATCCAGAAGCAGTTGAGTCCATTCCATGTCCACAACAAGCTTAGCCAATTCCTTCTGAAATTGAATACATGAACAGGGTTCAAACCTTGCATTCCCATCTAACAGTATTGTTTATTTCCCATCCTTGAGGAAATGTCCAATATTTTTTTGGATGATTTAGAACATTTTGGACGGTTTAGAACTTAGAGATAGTTTTTTATGTTTGGAAACATAGTTTTTAGATGGTTTGGAATGTATAGATAGTTTTTGGATATTTAGAACTTATTGATAGTTTTTTTATGGATGTTTGAAACAATATTTTGGTGTTTGATTGATGTTTTGTGATGCTTGTTTGTAATATTTGTTAGATTGTACAAAATTGGTCAAATAGAACCTGCTGAATT